AAGAAAGGCTGAAAGACGACCACCACTGAACAAGACACACAAGCTGAAACGTCAAGACTGGGCCAAGAAATATCTCAAGACTGATTTTTCTAAGGTTTTATGGACTGATGAAATGAGAGTGAGTCTTGATGGGCCAGATGGATGGGCCCGTGGCTGGATTGGTAAAGGGCAGAGAGCTCCAGTCCGACTCAGACGCCAGCAAGGTGGAGGTGGAGTACTGGTTTGGGCTGGTATCATCAAAGATGAGCTTGTGGGGCCTTTTCGGGTTGAGGATGGAGTCAAGCTCAACTCCCAGTCCTACTGCCAGTTCCTGGAAGACACCTTCTTCAAGCAGTGGTACAGGAAGAAGTCTGCATCCTTCAAGAAAAACATGATTTTCATGCAGGACAATGCTCCATCACACGCGTCCAAGTACTCCACAGCATGGCTGGCAAGAAAGGGTATAAAAGAAGAAAATCTAATGACATGGCCTCCTTGTTCACCTGATCTGAACCCCATTGAGAACCTGTGGTCCATCATCAAATGTGAGATTTACAAGGAGGGAAAACAGTACACCTCTCTGAACAGTGTCTGGGAGGCTGTGGTTGCTGCTGCACGCAATGTTGATGGTGAACAGATCAAAACACTGACAGAATCCATGGATGGCAGGCTTTTGAGTGTCCTTGCAAAGAAAGGTGGCTATATTGGTCACTGATTTGTTTTTGTTTTGTTTTTGAATGTCAGAAATGTATATTTGTGAATGTTGAGATGTTATATTGGTTTCACTGGTAATAATAAATAATTGAAATGGGTATATATTTGTTTTTGTTAAGTTGCCTAATAATTATGCACAGTAATAGTCACCTGCACACACAGATATCCCCTAACATAGCTATAACTAAAAACAAACTAAAAACTACTTCCAAAAATATTCAGCTTTGATATTAATGAGTTTTTTGGGTTCATTGAGAACATGGTTGTTGTTCAATAATAAAATTAATCCTCAAAAATACAACTTGCCTAATAATTCTGCACTCCCTGTATAGCATACCGGGGAGATCTGGATAACCCCTGTCACGGCAAGGGTGCATAGCTCATTATTGCACTATGGATTATTGTTATTTAAAGGGACACTGTAGTCACTATAACCACTTTGTCTCTTTGAATTGGTTATAGTGCCTGGAGTACCCTGGCACTGTCCCTCCATTCAGTGTTGCACCATGTTTGTGCAGTATGCCACAAAATAAGAGTCCCTGGACACCCACAGTCCGGCCCCTTCTGTATGTGTAGCTAAGGCAGAGATTACACACTTCCTTGTTGTCATACCCATTCATACCGTCAGTTGGAGCTCTGACAGGTTAAAAGCAGTCAGCTGACACTCTCAGCCAATCACAGCTACCCATTGCTGCTCAGGGTAATCCTTCCTTATTAGCCAAAGCAGCACAGACGCGATGGACTGCCGTGGTCTCTTGTTTAGCATTAAAAGTTTAAAAACTGTAATTTGATTGTATGGAAGGTTTATAGCCTTAATTTTCTTTGAAGCTGGGACCCCCCCACAGAGGTCAGATGGCAGAAGAGGTAATGGAAATTGCATAGGATTCTGGGAAGGGTTTTCCAATATGGATGGAGCCTGTGAATTAATCAAAGGCTCTGTAAGGTGTGATAGACAGCCACTAGAGGAGGACTTAATACTGCAATGTAAATATTGCAGTTTATAAAAACTGCACTAATTACACTTGCAGAGTTAAGGGTAGTGGGCAGAAGTGGTCTGGGTGCCTGGAGTGTCCCTTTAACGCCACCTCTAGACCAGGAGTAGTAATCCACAGGGTATATATCCAATGATCCTGAAATGCCTCTGTACTTGCTTGGGGACACAATCTATTTCTATGTGAGTCACCATCTTTCCTACCAGAGACCCCCTGGGGCAGAAGTATTTACTTTAAAGAGCTGAGTAAGTGATTAGGACTTTATTTTATCCCTTTTGATTTTCATCTATATTTTTATATGCACGGTGACTATTTTTTTTTTTTTTGCTCATAATAAATATTGCTTTATTAAGTTCTACCTTTGTCTGATACAGAATCACGTTACCTGAAGAGACTAATTAGTATTTCTGCATTTCCTTAAATATTGTGATAAGTTGTATTTGGGTTTTTATTACTGATTTACCTGGGGGACCAAAGCACCCCATTTATAAATTGTCTTGGTGGTGGCAGTGTTAAAATAGTTATATTATTATGTTTAAGTGTGGGTGGTGTAAAGGGGGATTTTGTCATTATTTCCGTGCAAACAAATAGTGAATTTTAACCCTTTTACCACCACAACTACGTCATGCACACTTTCGAAGTAGGGTGCGTTCGTCACAACCCCCACTTGTCTGAAGAGGGAACAGAGCCTCCCATGTTCAAAGCAAGTAGATTTTTCCTGAAAAATTCTGCAACTTAAAGAGAATCACTGAAGACCAACACAACTGATAGATTTTTGTATGCTCAAATATTTATAGTCTTTGCACAAATGTTTTAATATCTGCACCACAAGCCTTTCTCCTAACCCCTTTTATTGCTTATCACAACTTAGCACCTAACAAAACAGAGTGAGCTACTTTTAATTTACAATCTGGCTGCAGACAGTCAGAGAAGCTGCAAAAATTATGTAATTCTATTCTTACTATATGACTCCCTGGGTATCCTCTCATTCTAATGCTGTTTTTTTTGTAGATCATATCACTCAGAGCTGGCGATGGCCAAGCGCTTTTGATAAGGAATTCTTTATTTGAAGGGGCATTTCTATGGAGTCAGGCTTGTGGTGCAGTGTTCTACAAAGCATTTTCATATTTTATTTGCGTAAATGCTATAAACTTGAGCATGTACAAAATAAAGCATATTAATGAGGCCAAGATCTGTCCGCATATAACAGACAGGCACAAAACAAAAAGATGCACTTTACCAGATGCCACCATACCGGTATGTTTTGTGTCAGTAAATGAATATTGTTGTATGTATGATGCTTTCATTAAGGCCCAAACATTATGCTACGTGAGCCTGTGTGGAGTGCAAGCAGAGTTTTACAGTTAATTGTTGTAGAAAGGTTAAACATGATAATGCATGATAAATATGTATATAGCTTCTCTGTAAATGTAACACTCTGTGGGGCCACTAGATTTGAAGTATTCTCTTTTACTTACAGGAAGGCTAAAGGCTCAACATACACTAGTGCTTGTGGTTTGACATTCAGTGGCCCACGGATCCAGGCAGCTTCAGTCCTCTTAGACATTAGTGTGAACAAAGTGGACACTGCAGACTCTGTTATCCAGCGTCTAAAAGCCGCTAATATCCCTGAAGAAAACAGCATAGGGCTCATGTTTGCATGTAACGGCCGAGGAGAACAGCACTATGGCAAGGACAATGTGGAGGCCGACTTGTTCCGTAAGCACTTCCCAAGCATCCCTCTTTTTGGCTTCTTTGGAAATGGCGAGATCGGTTGTGATCGCGTAGTAGGCGCCAGTTTTACATTGAGGGAGTGTTGTGATAACAGGGATGAACTTTTGCATGGTTACTGTACAGTGATGACTATCATTCATTTTGGCAAGTAGCCGCCCCAGCAGATACATTGCAAACAGTGTCTGTGGCCCTGCTCTACGGCCTGTTAATCACTGAGCTCTGCAAACTAGTGGACTAATCTCGCTGGAGCCAACTTTATAGCAATGATTTTAGTTTGGTCCTAGTTAGCCATTTTAGTTCTGATGCCTCAACAAGTAAAACGAATAAAGATTCTATGTGTAATTTCATTTACGTTGTGTATAAAAGTATCTTTTCTTTTTGTCTTTGCTGCTTTAAGCCAAACATGTTGCATTAATTGGCCAATTAAAAGGACATATTCAGTGATAAAGTATTCAGTACAGTTTTCATATTAAAGTGGCCTAACAAGTATTACATTAGGCTGCTGATTGAAGAGTACTGATCTTTCAAAACCTGTTACTAGAAGGTACAATTCTGAAAGCCCAAAAAAGGAAAACCGTTTGCTATCTAAATAAATATGTGCTTCCTTATACACTGCGTCTGGCTATAATGCATATCATCTTGTGTGCTTTGTTATTTCAAAGTTGTCTGCCATTTCTAATTGTTTTGTAAAGAACATGGTTTTACTCTTTATGATGTTAAATGGGTTTGTACACACGTGTACGCAATCTTTTATGTTGGAATTATTGAAGGAAAATTTCTCAAAACAATCTGCTACTTCTAAGATCCTAATACAAGCAGTGGCGTCACTAGGGGGGGGCCAGAGGGGGCCATGGCCCCCCCTACATCATGCTGTGCCCCCCCAAATGCCAGCAACTTGCTGGCCATGAGCTTCCCTCGGACTGTAACAGCCTGTCACAGCCCGAGGAAATGCAGGAGAGAGGTGCTGGGGGCTGTCTGTGGCCGGAGGGAGCACTGATTGGCTCCCCGGCACAGGATCTGCCCCCAAACGAAGCCCCGCCTCCTGCCGATAAGCCCCGCCCCCGCCGTAATGCTGCAGCCCATGCTGCTGCAGAAGATGGCTGCCTGACCCCCAGCAACATCCTCCAGTGACAGGTAGGCTGGGGGGGGGGTGTTCACACACACATTTGACCCCATACTGCCCCATAAACACACACTGCCCCCCATACTGCCCCATACACACACATTGCGCCCCATACACACACTGCCCCCTATACTCTATCTTCATGAATATGATACCTCTATACACACACACACTGCCCCTCTATATTACCATACACACACACACTGCCCCCTATACACACACATTCGTTCTCTTATACACACACACACTGCCCCCATACACACACACACACTGCCCCCCATACACACACACTGCCCCCCATACACATACATTGCCCCCCATACTGCTCCCCATAGACACACATTGCCCCCCATACTGCTCCTCATAGACACACATTGCCCCCATACTGCTCTCCATTGACACACACTGCCCCATACACACTCACTTTGCCCCCATACTGCCCCCATACATACATACATACTGCCCCATACACACACATTGCCCCACACACTGCCCCCCATACACACACTCTGCCCCCCCATACACATACACTCTACACACATACACTCTACACACATACACTATCCCCATACACACACACTGTATGGACTCAGCAGTCTGTGTGTGTGTGTGTGTGTGTGTATGGACTCAGCAGTCTGTGTGTGTGTGTGTGTGTGTATGGACTCAGCAGTCTGTGTGTGTGTGGACTCAGCAGTTTGTGTGTGTATGGACTCAGCAGTCTGTGTGTGTGTGTGTGTGTGTGTGTATGGACTCGGCAGTCTGTGTGTGCATGGACTCAGCAGTCTGTGTGTATGTGTGTATGGACTCAGCAGTCTGTGTGTGTGTGTATAGACTCAGCAGTCTGTGTGTGTGTGTATGGACTCAGCAGAGTGTGTGTGTGTGTATGGACTCAGCAGTCTGTGTGTGTGTATGGACTCAGCAGTCTGTGTGTGTACGGACTCAGCAGTCTGTGTATGTACGGACTCAGCAGAGTCTCTGTGTGTGTATGGACTCAGCAGTCTGTTTGTGTTTGTGTATGGACTCAGCAGAGTGTGTGTGTGTGTGTATGGACTCAGCAGAGTCTGTGTGTGTGTATGGACTCAGCAATCTGTGTGCGTGTGTGTATGGACTCAGCAATCTGTGTGTGTGTGTGTATGGACTCAGCAATGTGTGTGTGTGTGTGTGTGTGTGTATGGACTCAGCAATCTGTGTGTGTGTGTGTGTGTGTGTATGGACTCCGCAGTCTGTGTGTGTGTATGGACTCCGCAGTCTGTGTGTGTGTATGGACTCAGCAGTCTGTGTGTGTGTATGGACTCCGCAGTCTATCAATAATTAAAATTCCTGTGAGTTGTTGTGTAGGAAGGGCCCCAGTGTATTGCTTTGCCCAGGGGCCCTTAACTCTGTTAAAATGGTACTGCTTGTGTGTGTCAGTGAGCTTCTATTTAGTGAGCATGTGTGTGTCAGTGAGCTTGTCTTTTTAGTGAGCTTGTGTGTGTGTCCCTGAACTTCTTTGTAGTGAGCCTTCTGTTTATACAAGTGAGTGTCTGTAGTAAGCTTGTGTGTGAGTCAGAGAGTTTTGTCTGTCAGTAAGCCTGTTTGCGCATGTCAGTGAGCTTGTGTGCTCACTGACATGTAGGAATGGCATACGTTTTTTTTCCAGGGCTGCTTTGGATTCCCAGGGATTACCAGTTTGGCTCTGCCAGCGAGTGCACTTTACCGCTGAATAATCTGTGGGAGCTGCCGCACACTTTAGCCCTGTTACACGCGTCTGGGAGCTGCTGTTGACAGGTACTAGTAGTCTAGAGATTGGGGTATATGCTCAGCTATCTGTATAATACAGATCTGTGTGTATAAAATATCCCGGGATAGTCAGTGCTTCCTGTATAGTGCTGCTCTCTGTCTTGGGATTATACAGAGAGCAGCACTATACAGGGAGCACTGAGTGTCCCAATTTATTATACACACAACCCTGTATTATACAGAGAGCACTGACTGTCCAGGGATATTATACCCAGACAGTAATTGATAGCTGTGCTGCAAAATGTCCTTGGAAATTTTTTTTCAAATGTTGGCAACTATGGCACTGTATCAAGGATAATGTGTTTGTTTTTTTAATAATCCCTGGTGGAAAATAATGAATCCTCCACCAGGTATTATTAAAAAAACAAAACACATTGTGTCGGGGGCGTGGCTTAACATGTGACAGGGGCGGGGTCAAACTGCGACGGGGGCGGGGTTAAATGTGCCCCCCTACTTTTGTCATTGGCCCTCCATGTGCCCCCCCGAAAAATGAATCCTAGAGACGCCACTGCTTAGCCCCTCTTATATCTCTTCACAGATCCATAGGTATGTCCCTTCTCGGTCTCTCTGCTCTGCCCGTGACCTTCTTCTGTCCGTTGCCCCCACCCTTCCGGCCAACTCGCACTTGCAGGACTTCTCGCGGGCAGCTCCCTTCCTATGGAATAGCCTGCCTACCGCCATCAGACTCTCC